CGCCGTCGCCGTCGTACGAGTTGCTTAATGTTGAACACTACTACCAGTACCCTTCAGTGTTTTACTTCCTTGTGCAAAATAGGTTCAAACCTCTCTGGGATTATCAAATGAAACTATGAAAGAAATAACCAAGTGGCAGTGGTGGTAAAATGGCGCCTTCGTGAAAATGGCCTATTAGAAGACCATCGATGCGAGAAAATTTGATATCATGATCGACGTCGCGTAAGACCGCCCGTACTCCTTACGTCCGAGGGCTTTTAGTAAGACTCTTGGGAAGGGGGAGGGAAGAGACCATATTACATTTAAAGGGACCCAGACATGCATCATGTGTTTGTCCTGGCGTATAGAAGATTCTTTTGTTCGACTTGGGAAAAAAAAATTAAAAACAGATTTTTAAAGCTTTGGCTTTAGCTTGGTCACGCTCCGGAAGCATTCTAGTCTTAGACTAGTCAAAATTTTGACAGGTGAATTCGCACTTTAAAATGTAATATGTAGTAGCTTAAAATTTGCTTACCGAAAGCTGAAGCTTTGTGGTACTGTAGGTTTACGTTTTAAACTTTTTTTTTCTAGTTTCCCAACAATATGAAACACAGCTGCTATGTCTTCTGTTATTCGTATAAAGTGAACGGGATCTGAACCGATTATGGCTCATGGCTTTTACACCGGCTATCAATATTTATTCTAAAGCGCGCGCAAAGATGGCGCGTATCGTGAATACGGTCTATTGTGAAAACAATCATCTATCTTCTGGCTCCCCCTATAAAACAAGAAGTTAAACTTTTAAAACTCTTTCAAATTAATATCATCTCTTCATAGGAGGATATATATGATCATATAAAACTCGCCCTTAGATCACCATAAAAATCAAGAACGCTTTCTCAAACATGAAAGCCCTTGAAATACGGGCCAGTTTCAGCATTACGAGGCTCAAATTACAGAGCCGGGCGAAAGACGGACACGAAGTTGTTCTTGAAGAGACCAGTTGTACCTGTCAGTTATTGTGTGAAAGTTGAAAGCAACAAGAGATCTGTTTTTAGTGCAATTAATTTGTATAGTATGTACAAGGAAATGTAAAGAATTTAATCACAAACGAACAGTGAGAACTCAAAGGAGCTGATTTAAATTCGTGCAATCACCTTTTACAGCGAACTTTCAGAGGCGGAAAATGCAAAGTTAGACTGAAACAGGAGAAATTACGGTCAAAACGTGACCGTACTACATAGCCACCAAACCTTTAGGATCGACAGATATGTAACAAAACAGTCGGAAATAGGGGATGCTGAGTAATGAGAGAAAAACGGTTTCCCTCTTCTCTCACCAAACCCTTTCTGCGTTGATGGCTATATTCCTCTTTTGAAAGAAGATAATTTAGTTTAATTTGGGGTGTGGGGAAGTAAGACTTCGTTTTGAGTTGAAACAAACGATTTTATATTTATTGTATAGAACTGCTTTTTAATTGATTGAAAATACTTCGTAATACAAAGCCTACAATACCACATCTATGACAATTAAAAACTGCTACAAATTCACTGTAAAAATTCAAAATAATAAATAACAAACAAAGAAGATGACAGAGAGGGTAGGGGCTATAAGTTTCCTCTTGGATTTGTCCAGAGTTAAAGGAGTTTTGGATGTATCTTTCCTATGTCAAGCGAATGCAGCAATTTTAGTTAAAAAGCTCCCTCATCTGCGCGTAACGGGAGACTGCATAAACAGCATTAGAAGGTAACTAAACTAAAGGTAACTTCTTGTCACATCACTTCTGTTGCAGTTTAAAATATAAAACATAATAATAACAACAGTAATAATAATAACAGGACATGGGTTGAATGAGAGAATACAGGGGCAGCAACCTTAAAAACAAATCGATTTTTCTCTTTTTAACTTAAATTTTACTCTATCAGTATAGCACATTGAGAAAATTCCCGATTCCTGACAATTATAATTCCTCTTTATATTTTGACACAGGTATTTTTTTGTGTCAAAAGTTATTTACCGGAAAAACCTCTCCGTTAAATGTTAATATTAATATCACCTGAAGAAGATCGAAAGAGCTCAAACTGAGATGCTTGTCTAGTGTAAAATTGAAACTGTGGAAACAATTCACGTACCAGTTTCTTGAGAGGATAGTCAACTTAAAATTCTCATAGTTCATAACTATAATGAATTGATTTTTACAATTTCAAGAAAAAAAAGTAGGATAGTGTTTAACTCGCCTATCTAAAAATCGAAAGCGGTCATTTAACCTTAGACTCAGGGTCGTCATTACGCATTCTGATTGTGTTCTACGGCTTGGTCATTGGCAACAAGTTAACAAATCACCTGCTTGTTTGGTTACGTGTAACACACTACGATACCGGCCATAACAGAGAAAGAGAACAATTAGGACGAATTTCTGCCAGAGGAAGACTTCAGAGTGACTCGTAAGTTGCCTGATCTACCTAGCGCGAAAACGCATTAAATCCAGCGTGCTCTTAGTTAGGATTTAGTTTGAGTGATATGACCTTAGTCATTCTGCTGACAGGCAAAGTAAGTAACCTAAAATTCACGAAGAATTTTTTTTCTTATTCCAATTACGCATAGATTTTTGGTTAGAATTCATTGTTAAGGCAAGATCATGAATCTATTACTTTGCAAAGCAATTTTGCAAAATTTTCGCGTATACATTAATGTTTGGTTAAGGTCACTCTCTTCTATTTGTTGAGGCTGAACATAGTCACAGTCTAACAAAGGGTTTTGGCTTGATTTAGTAAGATGTAAACGAATAGCTTATTTTCTGTGGTTTTGCTTCCCTCAAACGAATTTTGTCAATTTTCTTTAAGTTAGTCCAATATTTAGCCGACTTTTTATTCAACTAGGTTATTGTGATGATTTATGTAGTGGGAAAATGACTGTCCAAAACAATTAACAACACTTAATTTTAAAAAGTTCTCACGTAGTTAAGGTGGCTCTGTTGTTTTAAATATAGGCGCATTGAACGATGATGAACTCTATGAACTTTATAACGTTTTCGGTTTTCACGCCATCGCTACGAAACGTTGAAAGAACTACAGCTAACATTCGTCAATAATGGTTGTCTTTACACTAGGCTGTTAAAGGGGCTGTGTCACAGCAGTCCAGTTCATTTTGTTTAATTTTGCCAATTACTCCCCTCAATCGCTATGAAACTTAAAGTAAGCAAAGAAATTACATCATGAAAGGACAAAGTCAGAGATTCGAGACAAACAAATATGTCTCCTGAACATTATTTTTGAAGTTGCAAACAGCAGAGAGAAACTTTGAAAAACTGTTAGGCTGAACAGTTTTCAAAAACCCTAATTTCAACGTACCCGTTTCAGTTTTGCCCATCCGTGGCATCTGTTGTATCTGTAGTTGTGTTATTTTAACCCTCCTTTAATGTTTTAAGCGGTTATTTTTATGTTTCTCTTGGATTTAACGGGCATTTTGTAATAACTAATTTGGCTGAGACTTAAGAGCTGCTAAGTTTACTCAACCAAAAATCGTGTGTGAAGGCCTAAGTAAAACCTCAAGTAACTTTACTTTGCATCTAATTAAAGTCGGAAAGTTGAAACGATTCAAGAAAGTTTCAAGTGACTTGAAAACATCCTTAAGACCGACTTAGCGAACTTGCGGTTTTTAAGCTTTGAGAAAGGCGAAGCATGTCAGTCAATCTTATTAATTATGTTGAGTGGGGAAATAGGCTTTTGTAAACCTGAAGTAAAAAAGATAGGTTGTGTGTGCAGCTTTCTATCACTTGTAAGAATTTAAAATTTACTTGTCATGAAATATTTCTTAGCTTATTTAGGCTCTAGTGTTAAGACTACCAATTAAAAAAAAAAAAAAAAATCTCGATGTTACACGTGATGAACATTTTTTGGTGAAATTAGCGCTTAAAGGGTATATGTGACTCGCGTATTGCCCTTTTAGGACAATTCTGTGCTGAAATCGTTACAGTACTTATGCCATTACCCAAAACACAAAATGCTCCTGTAGAGTTAAGAAGAATGAATCTATAAGTCAAATTTCTCCAGGGAGCTTTAACCATAACATTTTTTTCGGTGATTTTTGCAGGCTTAGCATTAAGATTGCATTGAAATTTTGCTGATGTGTAATAAGTACGCCAAATATATAGAGAAATCGTTGAGGCAGAAGTTCGTAACTTGAAAGTCCTTCAGAATTCATCTGTGATAATTGTTTTGGAATTTCGAGGACGAATTGTCCGATGAAGAACAATCTAGCAACTCTAATTTTTGGTCCAGTTATGACTTCATAAAGCTCGTCATAGTTCAATACACCTGTAAAAGCAACGGAGACACCGTAAAGTGTCAGCTAAGAAATTAAGTTTGCTTTTTCAGAGGTTTAAAAGTTAACGCCAGCTGGAAAGTAAGCTCTGACATTCTACATTACGACTAAGATTTCGCAGAATACGAGAGACTGTCGAGCATACCGCCGCTTATGCAGACTCTCAGCTTTGACGGGGCCGGAGCCGCCCACCTTACATGTTTCAATTTGTTTATCGCCTAAAAAGGAATTTCAATTTAATATTCTAAAGTGGACGATGATAATTGTGCTGTTTTTTTTTTTTACAGTGAACAAAAGGATTTATTTACTAGTATTGAATAAGACACGAGGGAGGTTTTTAAACGTCAGAATGCTTTTTTTATAGGTGTGACTATGGCTATGAAGGCGATTATACTCATTCTTCTCTGGGGATTCGTGCAAGGACAATCTTCGCCTTGTGAACTAGCTCATCCAGACACCTGGAGCGCCTGTCCAGCTTGGAGAGCAGTTTTGAAAGCTTCTGTCACAATTTTAACTCGCTGCGCTCTAATCAAGTGCATCGGGAAACCATATGCGCTCTGGATAATATTCGTTGTCAGCTTGTCGATCAAGGCATTCTTCCCAACCAGTATCCCTTGAGTGTAGCTCAAGAAAGGTGTGCTGACCCCCTCAAGCGTTTTGACCCAGAGTGTGCTTACGCCCTGTTTTTTAAAATCACAATGTCCAACCCCTTTTTCATTCGCGTCAGAGAAGACACCATTCGCGCTGTCTACGTTGATATATGGCTTTTGCACCCTCTGCTGCGAAGCAGGTGCGGAGCAGTTCTCAATCAAGAAAGTAACGATGCAAAGTCCAGGCTGGCCGCAGGTCTGTCAGAGGTTAGAAGAGGCGAAAATCCTTACGCTAAAGTTTTGTACGGACGGGATGGGCAATTTCTCAGAGAGGGAATAGAAGCATCCTGTGTAAACAATCCTCTGGCAGACCAAATATTTTGTCCGGCTTTGCCTCAACTTGTGAAATTGGTTAATACCCTAGAAATGGTTAAATGGGAATTCGAGAGGAGTTTCAAATGGAGTGCTTATCGATTGCACTTTTTGATGTTAAAGCACATTTATCCTGAAGAATTCGAAACCGTTTACCCAACAACTACCGAGCAAGTTAGCGAACTTATTGTCAATAACTTAGAGAAGATTTTTGGGTACATTAATAACGGGCAAATAGATGATTTGACTGGTGAGTGGATCCCGTTGGTACCAGATTTAACGACAATCAAATCAGGTTGTGAAACAGCGTGGGCCCTTCCAAGTAACGTGAAGAAGAGTGAATGTATGTTTTGGAAAGCCATCGTCCAGCTAGAAGCCTTTAGCAAATCACGGCTCTCTCCAGCAAGTGGCAAGGTTATCAAGATGCTCAACACTAACATCGATTATAAAAGCTTCCTAGCACTGACCGAAATGGATAGGATTCTTCAAGTCGTTGAAAATCAAGAAACTGCATTGCAAGAGCTTAGCCAGTGGGTGACAAGTGAGGTGTCTAAAACAGTAAACGAACGGTTTAATGGCCTTCGAACGTATTTCACTAAAGTCGAAACCTTCAACCGCGAAAAGGCAAATGCTGATGTCGAGTTTATCAACGGAAGGTTAAACAAGTACAAATCCAATATTGAGACTCTGAGCACTGAGTTGGGGAATCAAGTTGGAAAACTTATCGATTATGCAATAGCAGCCGTTTCGCTTGAACTTGCAGAGGATGCAGCACAGTGTGTACTGGCAGCTGCTGTTGTTATGAATCCCCTTGAAAAGCTTTTTGGTGGTTCCAGTGCTGGAGATTATATCGATCGACAGGCAAAACTAGCCGACACCTTAACCCTGGTTGGAGAGATGATAAGGAGAGAGAGGGTCTTTAACGAACTCGTTAATGATGCAAAGGACATTCGAAGAAGATTGAATAACAACGCCCAATTTCTTGAAGACGTGCGAATCATCCTTGATGGCATCCAAAAGGGTACTTCAGCAGATGACTGCATCGATAAAACAAAAGTTTCTTGATGATTACAAGGCTTATGACCCACAAGTTGAGAAACCCGAATTGTCAGCCATGACAGGAAAATGGGAGGAAATGATTGAAGGAACATGTCAGGTCATATTAGAATGCACAACTAATCTTTGCGCAGGTCCTAAAGCAATAGTTAGAGGCCAAGGTTTATGTCCCAAAGCAAAAGCAAAAGCACAAGAAATGATCGCGACCTATGAGGAGATATATGAATTTCAGTTTGAGCTTATTGAATCCATGGCAACCTACATGAGAGCAGCGGTCTCCCTAGATGCTGCCTCGAGCATCACTGGTGATTACGATGCCCTTACCTAGCGAAGCTGAGGTTGATGCAAACGCTGTTAACGATCTCAAGACACTCACTATAGTCTCCTACATTTCGTACAAAATCAACATCTGGAGGATTGTGGAAGACTATTGTAACATACTGGAGTACCAAAGAGGAGGAACACGACCTAGTGTTTGCAACGGGGTTAACACTGAAATTGCAAGTCTCGCTTCTTTCGTTATTCCACCTTGCAGAGAAGTACACGATTACAGAGAAGTTCCAATCGCTTCTAATGGCAACCTGGCTTTTATGAGTCTCGGCGATTTGTATGCTGGCAAGCCCGTTACTTTCCAGATACCAGACAGTCAGTGGTTGGTTGACAATGGATGGATCAACCCAGGCGACCAAAATGCAGCAATATTTGTGAAGCAGTTCGTTGTTTTTCTTCCAACTGTTAGCCCAACAGAAAGGGAAGTACGAGTGGAAGCTAAAGTAAGTGGAGAAAATCAACATTCCCCACCGGATGGAACACGGTATGTTATCGTGCGAGTTCCTGAGAAAAAGTTCATTTTTTATTATCGTGAGGGTCACAGTGCTGTATGCAGACGGGATAGCGATAAATTAACAAACCCATATGGGTCTTCTTTGCCAAAAATCTGCCCTTTAAATGAAGATCAGAACAGCTGCCAAGAGCTTTTAGAGAGGACGCCATTGTTCCCTTCAGTATACTCCAAATGGAAAGTTTCCATATCTGGCTACGAATCAGTACAAGTTCCAGAACCTGCTTCTAACTTTAAGCTGAAAGTTGACACAAAGCTCTGCTTCATGGAACGACCAAGCAAAGACAAGGGGAAGAAGAACAAGTTTAAAAGAAAGAAGAAATTAATTCTAACAAAGAGGAAGAAGACGAAGTATCATGGTCCGACTAATTGTCCTGATGGTCATTTCTGGTCGGGAGACTCGGGTGTTTGTGCTACGTGCCCCAAAGGGTCCAGATCCGCCTTACATGGTTATTATTGCGAGAAGATTCCGAAGAAAAACTGAAAATGGTACTAGCTATTTCTGAGCTACTACAGATAAAGTGTGTGATTACACAAAAGTTCAGTCATTCTCAATAGAGCAAAATGTACTTATGCTACTGCAATATGATAGCCAATAAAATGCTTATGAGCTCATCTTTGATGTTCTTGAACTTTTTATCGTATTTGAGTCGAAAGCCCTTTTGCTCTCCCATCGTGATTAAGAGGAAAGGTCCAGAGACTTCGGCCCCAACCTACTTCAAAGAACACATCAAGGATTCTCGCGACATGAAGCAAATGAGCACATCATGGCAGTATTCATAAGAGAGTTACTTTATTCGACCCCATTTTCGAAAGTATGTAAGATTTGATTCTGTTTAAGCGACATGTTTCTGTTGTAGTTAAGGGGAAAAAATTGAACTGCCTTGTACACCAGCTTTACGTTTGTGTGGTCTTGCTCCTGGGAACGCGCTGCATAAGCCATGTGAATTAAGATGTTAGGGAACAAAAGAATAAACAATAGTTCACATGGCCTTTGTTTCTTTGTTCTGCCCTAGTAAGTTGATGAACAAGGTGTTATACTCTTCAAAGGAAAGACGGCGTAGACTTCGACCAAAGAGGGTGATTTAATTCCGGCTTCACCTGTGATACTGACCTAAGTTTCTAGGTTGACTCGCGAGAACAATAGCCATTGTGCACGATGTAAAGACTTCTAAGAAACAAGGGAAGAAAGAGATTTCATAAGAGGGAAATTTGCATAGCAGGTAGAAGTCTGTGAACTATAGGTAAGTGTGGACTGCTAAATCCGCTAAATGAGTGGGTTTCTAGTCACATAAGCGAGAGGAAGAGGAGTGACTTTTTCCTCTCGCGTTTTCTAGACAACTGCAGCTGGATTTTCTAGTGATACTTTGAAGGGTAAACTAGCAATCCATAAAACGTAACGTCTAAGCGTATGTGTACTTATGACATTTTCTGCATCCTTTAGAGATGGAGATTTAATCAAAATCTATAGACGTGTTATAGTGATCCCAAACATTTACTGTAAGATTGAATAATTGATGTTTCATAAAACCAAACCAATTTTGAGAACATAAATCTGCCTACGAGTATGCCGCCACTTTGAATGTCTACGACGATCCCGCTTTCCGTAAAATGAAATGACTTCTTTCTCCCAGGCAACCTCCCCCATCCCTGGATGAGATGCTAGTCCATCGCAAGGCTGCCCTCAGCAGTTTGTCGCCAATACCTATTTATACACCGGCCTTGGTGAAGAGGGACAAAGCGGAGCAAAGTATCCTGTCTAAGGAAATAGAACAACTGCAAAGCAGGAACCTGGACCTTCGGATTCAAAGTTCAAGGCGTTAACTGCTAGTGGCCCAGTACCTTCTCCAGGTTTTTTTTTTTTCAGAAAAGCCCTGGGAAAGAGGTTGCGCGACGGCCTTCATAATAGGGACCTTACGAAACTACGACGGCAACGGCAATGCAACGGAGACGTGCGTCAAAACAACAATAGGTGTAATGAGTAAAACAGCAATTAACTCTGCACGTGTATCAGTCTTTCTTTTGCAAATTTCTTTGCCGTCCCTGAACAACTAGGACGTGAAATTGCTAAATTTTAAGTTTACTTCAAAACGGGAATAGCAAGCCGATACATTCTATCATTTCTCACTGAACTCTGGTGTAATCCCCTCTCTTCCGCTCCAACATAAATTAGTCCCTTCTTTTAAGTAATTGGGCGACTTGGGCTAATCGCAAAAACGTTTGAAAGGATATGCAAAGCCTATTTTTCAACGACGTTTCCATGGACGTCTTCGTTTTCTGATCGTAAGGCCCTTATTTAAACAACCAGGAAACCTTCAACTGATTTTGTTTAATGTTACAGAGTTTGTAAATGTAATATCTCCTCAGTTTTCCAGCGAGAAAAGTGAACTGTTGTCAGCACAAGAAAAAATTTCGTTCAGTACTAGCTAGTTTCTGCGACATTCGATCCTCAATCAGGACCTTATTAACAAGGAAAACCTTCAGTTGGTTCTTGAAGTTTTGTTAGAATATATGCTTTTTAACTCATTCAATTTTGTTTCCTTCAGTGCGTCACATCAATTGTTTGCCACGTGATTAATCGTAAAAACATTTTAAGTCTGCAGAGAAGAAAACGCTTGTTTCTAGGCGTTGATTTTGCACCAACAACCACAGAAACGTCAGCTGGCATTTTTAATTAAAGACATGATACATATAGCTATAATAATGACCATAGCTGAAAATTTATAATACCAATTATAAGAGGGACTTAATGGAGGGATACAAATGTCAGTTGTCAGTTAAAATTTTTGGCCATTTGTCAGTTGTCAGTTAAATTTTAGGCTTTTTGTCACTTGTCGGTTAAATAATTATTAATTATTAACTATAAAACTTATTTGTTTATTTTTTTTACCGAAATTTAGCTTAAAGAGCACAAATAATGTGAACTAAATATCACATTCGAAAACTGACGCAATGGTGTCTTAGTTTTTATCAGTTTTGCTATTGAAAGCATTTCAAGCGGCCGTCAATTTCTCAAGTCACACAAACACTTTTGCTTGCTAGAGTCCAACATCTCCAACCATTTTTTTTAAAGCTAAAATGTATACCTTAAAGGACGTAGATTGTAATTAACAAAGACCAAGAAAGACCGTATCTGACTCATCTCGGTAAAAAACTTACAGTTGCTTTTAAAACGCCCTCATTCGCAGTATACCATCGTGTAACCATTAACAAACACTTTTAAAGCCTCCTGGTGCTAAAGTTACCCATATAAACCACGATAAACGCACATTTGATCGCATCGTGTTCCCTGTTGTAACACACACGGGATTTAGGGTATCAAGCTGAAGTGTGATGTTGAGTTCTTCAGCGTACTTAGATGCTTCCTTTACAAGAGCGGGTGGTGCCCTGATGCCATGGTGTGTTCTTCAAATTCTCTAACTGCTTCCACAGCCTGGTCCAAATTCTGATACAATTTCAGTAGCGATTTGATTTTAGTGATCCTGTACTATCTTAAAATTATTATCTCTTTTATCACAGTCTTTGCTGGTGTTCTTTTTGTGCATCAGCCGGGCGCAAACCATGCACCTAGAGCGTCAGTCACTCCAGTCAATCATTCTGTTCATACACTAAGCACCTCTCTGAGGATTCGCGCAGATCCAAGCATGCAGATCTTTTGAATCTCTGTCATAGTAGCTCTCTCTGATACTTTCTTGATGTTTTCTACCATACCCTTCTTCACTGTACCAAGCGCATCAACAACCACAGGGATCACTACGGTTTTCATATAATAATAATAATAATAATAATAATAATAATAATAATAATAATAATAATAATAATAATAATAATAATAATTAAAAATTTATAACGCGCCTTTTCCATGCAAATATGATCAAAAGCGCGTGACAACACGTAAATGTTAAAAGAAAATAAAAGCTAAAATGAGCAAAATAATTAAGGCTAAGAATAAACAACGCTAAAAATTAAATAAAGATAAAAAAAAACACTAAATATATTACATAGTAGGTTAAAAAAAAAATACATAGCAAAAGATAATCTAAAAAGATGCGCTTTAAGTAAAGATTTAAAACGTTCAAAATTGTCCTCAAGACGGATGTGAAGAGGCAGATTGTTCCATAAATTAGGGGCAGCAGATGAAAAAGCACGATCCCCTAAAGTCTTTTTCAGTTTTAAACTAGGATACTTTAAGATGATACCGCTAGCTGAACGGAGATTATAGCGCGGCTGTTCTTTAATAGCAATCAAATCGATCAAGTAACCAGGCGCATGACCGTAGATAGCTTTAAAAGTAAAAAGAAGTATTTTAAAATCAATACGAAATTTGACAGGAAGCCATTGTAACGAACATAGTACTGGTGTTATGTGACTGTAGCGAGGGACATTAGATATAAGCCGAGCAGCTGCATTCTGCAAGCGTTGCAGTTTAAGTAGATGAACAGAGGGTAAACCAAATAGAAGGCTGTTGCAGTAATCTATACGACCAATGATAAAATCATGGACCAAAGTTAGTGCAGACTCCTGGGACAGATATTTTCGGATACGCCGAATATTGTATAAATGGAAAAACCCAGATTTACAAGTTTTGTGGATCTGTTCCTGGAGATTCAAGTTAGAATCGAACCATGTCCCTAAATTTCTTGCCACAGTGACAGGAGCAACGTCAATGCTTCCTACGGTAAGGCAATCAATATTTACTTTGGAAAGTTGTTGTTTTGTACCGATCAACATGAACTCAGTTTTGTCATCATTAAGTTTGAGCTTATCCGTAAGCATCCACGTACGAATGTCCGATATACAGCGTTCCATGGCAATGACCGCATCAGTCTGATTAGTAGCCGTGTCAGGACTAAACGACAGGTAAAGTGTCATCAGCATAGGCATGTGCTTCAGGTAGATTCAGGTAGATGGTATTTGATGACTTCAAACAGTTTGCTGGAATAAATGGTAAACAACAATGGCCCCAGACACGATCCTTGTGGAACGCCATAAGGAAGCTTAAAACTGTCAGATGTAAAGCCATTTAGCGAGACTCGTTGCGACCTGTTGTTAAGATAAGACGTAAACCAATTAAGGGCGGTGCCATTAATGCCGATACATGACTTAAGACGAGCAAGCAGGATATTGTGGTCAACAGTGTCAAACGCTGCGCTCAAATCTAGGAGAACTAGAAGAGTTACATGCTTGCGATTCATATTCATGAGAATGTCATTTTGTACCTTCAGTAGCGCTGTTTCTGTGCGGTGACCCTTTCGGTAAGCGGATTGCGAGGTCGGATAGAGGGCGAATCGACTCATATGACTGTGAATTTGGTCGAAAACAGCGCGCTCTGTCAATTTTGATATAAAGTCCAAGTTACTGACAGGGCCACATTCTCTGTATTTCTAGTTCTAGGTCTTTGTACTTGCTTTTTTTTTTCAGTTTCCTTCAGTGCGATGTTTCTATATTATTAACATAACTATAACAAAATTCTCAAATCTGATTGGCTATCAACTGCCCTGATTTCAGCCTTAATAGGACAGTTTAATTGCACAGTACGCGTCATGCCTAAGTAACTGGATAGTACGCGCCATCACGCGCCTGCTTAAATGGCTTTTTTTTTCACTGCTAGCATAAATCTTGGAATTTCTTGTGTTTTGATTTTAAAAAGAGCTTTATATATCACAAATTTTGTTAAAGTTATGATCGATTAATTGGTAACAGAACCTCGTGTCGTCCAATTCGGTTTGTAATCATACTCGTGATGAAACAAATCAGACTCCCGCTACGCGGTCGTCCAGTTTTGTTAGTCTCTCGTATGATTACAAACCGAATTGGACTCCACTCAGTCCTGTTAAAATTACTTATTATTATTATCATTATTATTATTGTTATTATTATCATCATCATCATCATCATCATCATCATCATCATCATCATCATCATCATCATCATCATCATCATCCAAATACAGGTCACGTGTTCTGCTCTATCGTGTGGCTAGTTTTGCCCTGAAATCTTAATTCATAACGTTTTAAAAGCATTTTAAAACGCCGTACTGGTACTGGGACGTAGTTACGCGGAACATTGCAATACATCAATTTATTTTTCGATTTTACTTCGGAAATTATAAAATTAACGCTGTTTTCCAAATTCCTGCAGTAAAACGATTATCCGAAAGGGAAACTGAAGTACATTCCTGAAATTATTGCTAGAGAAACGAAAGCCACGACTATATGGATATGCAACACTGGTGTTAAAAAGCATAGGGTGACGGAAGAAACCAGAAGGCAAATGGTCGAACACGAACGAATGCACTTAAATAAATAGAATAAATAAATAATAAACACTAAATGGCCCAAGGCTAATAAACTTGTGGCTCTCAAAATACAATCTTACAAGTATGTAATATCTATACAAATAAAAACACTAAAAAACTATTTACAATGTCTACGTATCATGAAAGATTTTATTTATTTTAAACAAAATATCCCAAATGTTAAACGCACGAAAAAATTACCCTAACATGTATCAATCATGTTGGTATATACGTAGAGCGCAATATTTTGTGGTGAAAGAATTAGCATTAAAGTCAAAACAGCCAATATCGCAACGTAGCTTTTTTGGGCCTGTTCGTAAGCTAGGTCTTGAAAGAAATTCCCTATGTTAACTCCGTCTGCATAAATCTATCTGTTATACTTTTACGGGTATTAACTTTGCTGATTTAGGAATAACTTGTTCAGCGTTAGCTCACGATATGTTAAGTTGTCTTAGTGAAAGTGGTCCTTGGAATCAATCCTCCAAAACTCAGCAATAATTCATGGATGCAAACAAAGGAACAACCCGTCGTGAAGCTTGGATGTCAGTTACTAATTTGCATCTAATTTTGTAAAGCTTTGGATGTCTGCAGATATATTAAGGATAAAAAAAAGAAAAAGAAAAAAAATCGAATAAGGGTCCTTTTTAATAAATCACTTCCCATGCAAAGACTGGATATCGAACAGAACTCCCTCCGTTATTTCATTTGAATTTCTTCATATTGGCTGTATGTTGGCATAACGATACTGGCTTACGTTTAAACTATAAAGTATATTCAGCTTTCAGAAGTATTTAGTGTTTTAATAACGTTTGCCATCCCCTAAGTGTTCCCAAGGGAGAGGATCTTCTTTTGATGTCCCCGATTCCAATTTGAAAACAGGTTAAATAGACAAGGAAAATGTCGCTCATGACAGCAGCCGCTTGGATCACTCTTTGTTTTATTACGTGTATCCACATCGCAAAACATAACGCGCAGGTGAGTTATCAGTAACTGATTATCTTTCAAGGCTTGTGGAACCTGGAAAAAATGATAAACTAAGTCTAAACGTGCTTTGATATCTGATAAAGGGTTAGATATCTGGTTTGAATTCAGCAATCGAGGTTACATTCTAGTTTGCTCCAGCTAGGACTTATAAAAAGCCACTAAACGTTTGTCCTGCTATTTTTTTTGGTAACACTCCTAACTGACCAAAGGAAAATAGCATGCAGCTGTATTTTTTTTCCTCCTAGGGCAAGCTTTTACAACAAATGGGTGCAAAATAATACGTTATTTTAAGAGGCTAGTATAGATGTTCGCTTGAGTCAATTTCGTCTTCAGTTTCAGTTCGGCAATTTCTCGACTATCGATAATTTGATCCCTTAGCCCATTTTTCAATATATATATATCCATCAATTCATTGCTGTATCTCAGGTCTCACTCCACTCCGTTGTGATTGAAGTTCGCAGTCATCGGATAAACATCGTAAGTGTGTCCTCCCCGCCTTTCTAGTTTTGTTTGTGTTCGCACCTTTTTGCAGTTTTGGATTCATTGGTCTTTTATTGTTCGTGTACCTTTGTGTTTTGGTAAGGTGTTTTTTTTGCATATCGTATGTTGAACTTTGCTTGGAATTTTGGCTTCAGATCTTCGTCGTACTCAGTCCGGTTTTTGGTTTAAGTTTTTTTTTCTTGGTCTTTCGCTCGTCTGCATGTTAACTGACAAACGACAGGTCTCTCACTCACTCCCCGAGAGGCACTATGTAACAAATATTCACTGAAGTGGAAATGGTTAGTGGTTCGCAGCGAGGTAAATACCACCACTAGCCATGGAGACTGAAGTGAATAATTGTTTTAGTATATACTAAAACAGAGAGATAATTGAGCACAAAAATAATGATGTACCCGTTTGGCGTCGCTCGCTCGGAGAAGACGCAGATGAATCAAAGGATGCAATGGGTATCCCGCATTTGAGTAGCCAATCACAGCGCGCCAAAAACACTATCCACTGTTTAAGTATATACTAAAGTATATTATTGAGAGCAACTACGAACTACGAACTTCTGAATCTTTACTTTCATGAGAGCAATAAGAGCCTCTACAGGGCCTACAGTTGTTCAAAGGCCACCGAAAAGCACTAACCTGAGCTTAACTTTTAATCCCGGTTTCTTTTCCTCTTTTTTTTTTTCTTTTATTTCAAAAGCATTTTCCGGGATAATTTCCTTTATTCTTTTTAGAGCATCCAATTAAAAAAATTACATGCAAAAAGATTTAAACTGATTTTACATTTGAAGCTTTGATACCTGAATTCAAATTTCGCACTAATCCTGGATTATTTTAACCAAGCTTTCAACAACCCGGCCCAGCCGTTCTATTTCCTAAAAATTTTTGCACCTATATACCTGTATTTACCACAGCGTTTATTGTAACAATAAAAGCAACATGCCTCTGAACAGACGCAGTCCTCGACACCAGTAACTTACAATCCTCAAAGTCTTTGGGACGGTGATGCAGTATTTATAACTTCCTGTAAAATTTTGTGTGCAGTGCAACGGTTTTGAAAATACTTGCCGTTTCCTCCTACCCCCAACCTGTACAATGCTTAAACTTTGAAATAATTCTGGAAAGTTGTTTTGGGGTAGATGAAGGGATGACAAGGAGGGGCAATACTCCATAGCTGCAGCGGCCACGTCTTGCGCATTGGCATCACCAGGTTTTAATGATAAGTATAATCGAGTGTCAGTATCAGCAGATCGGTGAACTTCAGGTAAATGTGACTCTATAATATCAAACAGCTCGGAAGCATAGACGACAAACAGTAAGGGCCCCATACAGGAGCCCATTGGAACGCCAAAACGTAAGCCAAACTTTTCAGATATGGCACAACTCGCTTAGTGAAATGCGCTGACTCCGACGAGGTAAGAGAACCTTTCCTCGCACGCCAAAGTTAGTATTCAAGCGCCTTACTAAGATCTCATGGTTGACAGTGTCAAAGGCGGCACTTAGATCTAATAATAATAACAGGGTAACATGCTGTGAATTCATGTTTAAAGAAAGGTCATTAGCTACCTTCAACAAGGCTGCATCTGTACGATAGCGTTGGCGATATTCAGATTGATACAATGGGTACTGCAAGACTGCCATAAATGACGATGCATGTGGTTTAAACCTGAGCGTTCCGCTCGGACACATAAGACAGCAGGTTGCTAATTGTGCAAAGATTTTTACACTCAGAGCTGAGGCTAGGTTTCTTTATTAGGGGTATTACAATATCCTCTTTCCGTATATCGGGAAAGGTACCCTGCTCCAGTCAGGGGCACCCAACGACGATTTCCTCCTAAATACGTTGAAAACACTTTTTAGGCTATCCAGAGTACTCTTGGATCTCTAGAAATACATTCTAAGCGGCGCTTTTACTATAAAATTTGTACCTGTTCGGTCAGGGCTTTAAAGTAGCACAGATCAGAATCTTTCTTAGTTTGTCGTCATTTCCTTTCAGCTTTTCATCATTAAACCAGGGTATATCAGGTCTTATTGTTATTTTTGCGTGACTTAAGCGGAGCATATGCATGATGCTCAATTGAATAAGACTGTGTGGTAATATAGCAGTAAACCAAATTATTAAGCTGATGAGGCATATTTCCACATAACCGAGAAGCAGAAAAATCATTCATAAGAGACTGGACATTAATCTGGCGAGTAATTCGATAACGTAGATTCTTTACAGCCAACGGAGGCTTAGGATTATTGATGCTAAACAAAATGGCTTTATAATCCGACAGAAAATGATCAGGTGCAGGTGTAGATCCCGTTATATGATCAAATTCACACGTGATGATCAAGTCAAGACTATGGCCTCCCATGTGACTAGGTTGTGTAATATGTTGCTGTCAAAGTGAACCCATAGAATGGAGAACCTCCAAAACCTTTTGACCATCATAATCACTGGAAATGTCAACATGAATATTGGAATCGCCGACAATGAACTGTTGTAGATATGAAAAAGACAGCTGCATAAAGGGATCTATCCTTTCCAGTCACGAAATATAATTTTCCATAGTTTCGTAAGGTAATTCTACGCAATTCTGATCATAAAAGTAACTTTGGACAAAGGTCGTAACAAGTTGAAAATATTCATTTCGATTTCTTAATTTGCTGCCTTAAATTTCTAGGTCTTCAAACTTAAGAGGCTGTCCGCGTAAGAACCGATAAGGCAAATTTCGGTGTATCACAGATTGCCCTGATTTTTTCAGTGGAAGATAACTATCCTATCCCATGAAGAAATATCACATTTATTTGGACCAACTCAATTTTTTCTCTATATTACAGGAAGATTTTCTCGGTCACCTAAAACTGGCCCGTTTGCCGTCAGAAGTGATGCGATTTTGGTGAAACTTTAGGGCTCTGTCAAACCTACCTTCCATAGCCGAATAAAATGATTATTTTACACACAAACGTTTTAACTCTGATTAACAGTTTCAAGGTTTAATGGTTGCATTCTGTGGAAAGTTGGCTGAGATATGATTTTTTTAAAATGACCTTTAATTTGCTCAGCAGGAAAAGTAATTTGCATAACTAGAGCTGAACGGTAATTTCGCAAAAGTGGCACCTGACCCAGACTCAAGTCTATGATAAATCAGAAGTACTAAGACCAGTCTACTTTTTAATGCAATAAAATTTGTGGGCACTCTTCTCTGCGCGCTGTACAAAGTTCCGTTAATGTTACAAAATTCGCCATTTTGACAGCAAAGCTGGAATTGTAACGGTCCGCATTTGATCGACTAATTTCCACAGTTTTAACGTTTCTAGTTATCACCAAATGTCATTAGACCCTTTAAGTGTTGGACTTTTGAAAACATGAGGAGAAAACTTGGTAATCGCTTTTTCTTGGTTTTTTCCTTGTCGACGATCAGAACGCTACTTCATCCTCCGTATGCAAATTAGCCATAGACGCGTCGTTTCAACAAATTGACAGGAAACATAACTGCTTATATTTCACATTTTTGAGGGAAAAATATCTCTTCTTTCCACGGAAAAACACGAACGATATATGACTTAGAATCCCCTTAGGTCTGTTTCTTTTAAGGGAAGAAGCGGTAGAAGAAGAGATGTTTACGCGAGTTAAAATGATTTAATTACTTTGGCCCGTCACGCATTCCCTGAGAGTGGCCGTGTATCGATCAGTTCTTTTATCTGATTATATTTTTTTTGAAGTGATAGTTATTGATAATCATACAATTTAATCACTGTTACTTCCGATTCTTTACTGGGTGGGAAATACCGTGCTGTTGTATTTATTCATTCTACGACCGTTTTAACTGAGTCAGTGTCCCCGGGCGCCACCGTGAGGATAGGGTTTAATATGACAGCCCATGGTGTAATACACGACAATTAGCTACAAAGTAGTCACTTGGACACGGCCACTCTTATTCACGAGCACTAGCACAATATTTTCAATTACAGAATTAACAATTAATATTTTCGAAATAGCTCGATCGATCGTAAACAACTTCAGAAATACCGTGCGACACCACAGTACCACACCTGCAAAGTCCTTTAGGCCCCACATTTCCTAGATCCCTAGCTAACTATAGGCTACCCTACAAACTTTAGGGTGGTATTAACAGAGCATTGTGTTTGTCGCCAATTAACAACATTTCAGCAAAAATGAGGAATGGCATGCAGAAAAAGGCATAGTTATTGTTTACGGTCCGTCTCCTGTCAAATCCCAAACGTTTTTGCCGGCTGTTAATCACACTAAATTATAAGGATCCCTATGTTCACTCCTGAGCTGATGGAGAAAAGCACGTGCAATCTTGAATGAAAGACGAAAGTTTGTCAGTTAGGTCTCCTTTTCTTTCCCTGGATTTTAATGGTATTTCAAAGTGACACAAGATTTTTTTAGCATTACCACGTTGAAATGACTAGGTTGCTCTTCCTTTGACATTACACATAGGTTGAAAGCTTCTGGTTGAGGGTGTTGTGGTCTCAATTCTTCAGCGATTTCCGCAACAAGGTTTTGCCTTTCGAACTCCTCGTCTTCTTGCAACAGATCTCTATGGTCAAGTTCAACTTGTATACACTTAGGACTATGTTTACGTGTTGACTCAAACGGGCCTTTTAGTCCAACATGGGCTGGCAATATGTGAGCACGGAATTGGAACGGGAGTGGAGGGAACTCCCTATGATGGCCTATACGGGGAGGTTCCGCCCGAAAGGAGTATCTTTTTCACGCTTCAGGTATATGAAAGGAAGGGCATTTCACTAGATGAAGTATATAAAAGGGCGAGTGCGCTTATTGCAGCCTTAGCAGCATCTTTGGCGGTTCTTAAAGAAAAAAGAACTAAGTTTAAGAATTTAAGGAAAAAGTAGAAGGAGAATTTTTCAGAGATTAATATACACGGGAGAAATTTCAAGTTTTTTCAAGTTTCTTGCGACAGGAGGAGCAAATCGGCTATATAAAGTTGAACTGAACACTAAGGTACTTGTAAGTCTCACTAATTTTTACAAAACCAGAGACATGTTTTAAACACTGTTTAAGTTCAAAAAAATTATTTTTATTGCAAGAATGAAATACTTTTCATACACGTGAACGACACCTCGACCACAATCACTCCTAGCCTCATCCCCAGGACATTCTTCTTAGAAAATGGCATGGGCGCGAAAGCCCTGGGGATGAGGTTGAATCCTGACTCCGTGTAGAAAGTTCTTTTTTTCCCATTTATAGTGCTCTTCAAACAATCATCAGAAAACTATCTTTTACAACACACGGATTAACCGGTATGTATAGTATTTTAAAAGTAAGAATTGATTAGGGCAAGATACACGGCTGTCAAAAAAATAGAAATAACAAAAACTATCTTGCAAGCTCGAATAAACTGGAAACGAACTTCAGAAAACATCGCAAGATAAAATGTTAAATAGAGAAATTAGAATATCTCTGTACGTTAAGAAAATTTTTTGCATGAAGAAGAAATAAGAATGATACTTACGTGATGGAACAAAACTTTGACTTATTTCGCTGGCTATCTGGAAATTCACGACATGTCTTCCTGCCACAGAAGTTACTTTGCCAGTATGATCCAGAGTGTGACCGGGGTATTGACAAGACCTTAGGCTCGATTTCCGCCGTCTCCCCGTCCGTTGGGTTTCATTTTCCAGAACAGCGGCTTATAATCGAGCCTAACAAGACCTTTGCGTCCGCAAAAACCTGCCAAGCAGGTGTCTGTGCCTTGCGCAGATTGTCATTTTAGTGTTAGCCTGTGTACACACTACCCCCCCCCCCCCCCACCCCTCCTCGGAGAAGGGGCCCTTCTCCGATTTTTCCTGAGGGGAGGGGGTCTGTACACAGGCTATTTAGTTTCTGTGCCTTGGGCAGATTGTCATTTCAGTTCCGAATACCCACCAAGCCTCGAATACGTACTCTCGCTAAAATGAGTTCATTTTCATTGTCTTTGCTACACTTGCTACACTTAGACAAGTGACAGCTAGCTAAGTGCGACGTAATATCATCCATCCTCTGTGACCAACACATTTTCCTCCACACCCCTACTGGGACTTCACTCTGTCTACGATCTCGCGGAAGAACTGCTTGATGAAATAGCCGAAAAAGCCATTTTTCACAATTGATCTCTTCGGCGATTTTATCGACATAATAATATTTGAAACTGGCACCTGTTGCATTATAATTCAATCAGATTGAAACCAAAACAAGATCATGGTTGGAATTCGGATGTTATACCCTAACAAAAACTAAAAAGATACTCCCTTTTGCGTTTATTCACTGAAAAAAGGAACTATTTTTCCCGTTTCATTCTGCTACCGATAAACGCTTTAAAGATCTTTCCATGAAACTGAAATTTACTGCTAATTTAAGATAGAAAAAGTGTGGGGCATTTTTTTTTTTTATCATAGTGCCATGTACAAAGATCTACCTTCTCCTGATGAGCAAATATTATAATAAAGCTTTCGACGTTAACGCTATTTTTAAAGGCACACAAAAAAGAGTGCCCAAAAATTTTCGTGTGCTGACAAGAGGACTTACCTTGCAAGTGAACTCTTATTTTTTATTATTATCAATAACTATCATTTTAAAAAAGATGATAATATTATAGAATTGATCGACACAACGCTATTGTTTTCTAATCGACCACCCCTATTTAGGAATGCGTGACAGGCGACAATCGGTATAATTGAATTATTTTAAGCCACGCAAACATATATCATGATATATTATTCAGCTGCTTCTTCCTCGTTAAAAAAAAAACAGAGCTTAAGGGGATTTTAAGGCATGTTTTGTGTTTTCTGTGGAAAGGAGAGTTTTTTTTCCCCTTAGAAATGTGAAATGTAAGGATTATATTTCCTGTCAATTTGTTGAAACAACCCTCCAAGGTAATTTGCATTCGAAGAATGAAGTCACGTTCATCGTCGACAAGAAAAAGACCCAAGGAAAAGCGATTACTAAGTTTTCTCCACATGTTTTCAAACGTCCAACATTTAAAAGGTCTAATGACATTTAGTGATACCTAGAAACGTTAAAACTGTGGAAATTAGTCGATCAAATGCGGACCGTTACAATTCCAGCTTTGCTGTCAAAATGGCGAATTTTGTAACATTAACGGAACTTTGTACAGCGCGCAGAGAAGAGTGCCCACAAATTTTATTGCATTAAGAAGTAGACTGGTCTTAGTACTTCTGATTTATCATAGACTTGAGTCTGGGTCAGGTGCCACTTTTGCGAAATTACCGTTCAGCTCTAGTTATGCAAATTACTTTTCCTGCTGAGCAAATTAGAGGTCATTTTAAAAAAATCATATCTCACCCAACTTTCCACAGAATGCAACAATTCAACCTTGAAACTATTAATCAGAGTTAAAACTTTTGTGTGTAAAATAATCAGTTTATTCGGCTATGTAAAATAGGTTTGACAGAGCCCTAAAGTTTCACCAAAATCGCACCACTTCCGACAGCAAACTGGCTAGTTTTAGGTGACCTAGAAAATCTTCCTCTAAAATAGAGAAAAGCTTGAGTTGGTCCAAATAAATGTGATATTTCTTCATGTGATAGGATAGTTATCTTCCTCTGAAAAAATCAGGGCAATCCGTGATGGACCGAAATTTGCCTTATCGGTTCTTACGCGCACAGCCTCTTAAGTTCTTAAGCTCTTAAAAAGGCCTTGAATAATTTAAAATGTAAATGTAAATGTAAATACATATATTATCCACTCCCTTCAGGGCTTTTCATGTATTTGATGATATTTAAACTGGAATTTTGTTTTCCTTTTAAACTAAACAGCTCCAAAGGTCCGAACAGAAAAACCTACACTTTGGGAACTTTAAAGAATTTCTCAATCACATGCTGGATATTTCCCAAGTTTTGTCCTTTGTCAACGTCAACGACTACGCCGACTGTGGTTTCCAATGCCTTTCTAACGAGGCATGCTTGTCATTCAATTATGCCATTTTGCCTAACAGCAGCTCCACACTTCACTTCTGCCAATTGCTAGCTACAGACAAGTACAACTACTCCACTGCCTTCGTACAGAGTGACCACTTTCATCACTACACTGTTGCGGTATGATGAACGAAGCTCTTTCACTGGTTTACTGAATGAATACAACTCGTTTGGTCTCCGCTCAAATTCAAATCTAAATTTGAAATTAAACTGCGATAGGGTATCTTTAGCCTGCGTACAGCCGCCTTCTCCTCTAAAAAGAAATCCGGGAGATTTTGTTTTTGACGGGCCGGAGGGGGCGGATGTACACAGGCTACCCTAATTGGTACACGAAAACCCTCTAGAAATCCACCAATCGGTTATTTTTTGTTTGTTTGTTTCTGTACCCTGCGAACAGAGGTTTCTCTCTTGCATTGCTTTTATCGTTTACGAAGTCGTTCGCGTGGCTTGTCTGTCGCGTGGTTAGTTTGTTTACGCCCAGAGAGAAACTAACCACGGGGTGTAAACAAACTAAAGTAACCACGCGACAGACAAGCACGCGAACGACTTCGCAAACGCTAAAAGCCATGAAAGAGAGAAACCCCTGCTCGTAGGATATTTTTCTGAAAACCTAATCACAGTCGTCACAGACGCGAAGTGTGTATGACAGCCCACTGTCGCAAATTTGAGTAGTTGTTCTTTGAATCTCAGAGCCCATGTGAGAGTTCTCCTTGCCAAGATGGCGGAACATGTCGGCCACTGTATGATAAAAATGACATGGTATGTGACTGCCCGGACGGAAGGAATGGAACTCATTGTGAGAAAGGTAATGACTTGGACGTTATATTTAGTCATCATCCGATCGAGTGCGACAGTTTGTTTGCTCGAACATTGTTTCCGGATCTGCAAAATGCAATGGATGGCTCCGAAATCTCCCATTCAGTAATAAATGCATTACTCTAATTACACCAATGCAATGGAATATAATACCGGAGAACTTAATAAGCTATAAGAAATAGTCATTACGCGGGGTAGGTGACAGATTCCCTTACCCTTTCATATACCTTTACTCGTGAAGTCCCGGCCCTTTTATATACCTGAGGCCCAAAGAAGGGAACCCATTCAGACAAAAGTCCCTTTATATTGGACACTAAAGAAGTACACTCCCACCCCCCCCCCCCAACCCACCCCGGAGCTTCACGCCCTCATGGGTGTTGGTTAGCAAACCAACGAAAGATATAAGGCCAATCCGCTGATGTCATTTCCAGTCACCGAATTAGTCACGTTCAGCTATCGGGGTTCAATTTTTACTCAGTCTGAACTTGAATTAAAGTTAAAGGACACACCATATAGTGTTAAACAAGAGTGTAATTAGGGCTTTTCACGAGTTGCTTGAGATGTCTCACAAAGCTTCCAGTAGTTTCTCAAAAAGTTGCTCAAAACAAGTCAAAAGTTGCGTTATGTGACAAAAGCTGATCCAACGTTGCCCTCCAAAACAAAAACGTAAAAGACTACGCATCAGTATCAAGAGCCCATGGCCTAAATAGTATGGGTTCCCTTCAATATCAAAAATTAATCTCGCAAAAATTCTAGTATGAGCCAATAAAATTGTTGAATAACCTTCTTCGCCTGATACAGGCTTCATTCGCCACCTTGAATTTTCTCTTAAAAACCGCTGACCTAAAGCCCGGCTGCATGCATCTTGCCGCCATGATCTGTCTTAAGGAGGAGGATCTGGCTCCTTTTTCACAGGAAATTCATAAATTGTCTACTAATACATTGTGAAACATTTAAGAAAGGCCAATTTTAGCACTAAAGGCTGTTCCGATATCTCAGTAGCGCTAGAAATCTAGAGAAATTGCTCAGAATGCAAAAAGCTGTTTGAAACGACCAAAGTTGCACGAAATACGAGAAGTTGCTAAAAAGTGGCCGAGCAACTTGTGGAAAGCCCTCATGTAACTGTGTCAAGGTCTCATGGACTCAAAACCAAATTGACTCAATGAATATCTTTAGATTAGCGTACCCTACAAGGACAATGATTTTCCCATCATGCACTTCACGACAGAGAGCTGGTTCGAGGAGGTTAATTACCCGAAGCTTAGGAATTTAAATAGATTTTTATTCATGTTTTTCCAGTCTTTTTGTTTATAAAATCAAAATGTTTAAAGTTTATATACTGAGTATGTCCAATGCAAAATATTTCCCTCTACGAGTTTGACTCTTTCTTTTTATCAAGATTAAATGATTTCATCTCACGGTAACATGGAAAAAGGTTTGTTTTTAATAAACCAAAGTGCCCCTTATCTAAACTTTTGCCACTTTATAAAAACGGCTGAGACAGTTAGTAGTACACTAACTTTAGCTTACTTCATAGTACCTCAGGCTAGGTGACGTGTTAGAAGAGGATGAATATCGAACAGCTAAAACTGAATCTTTGGATAATGAAATTATTCTAGATTCCTGATTGACTTAGCCATCATGGTATATGAGCCACAATGCTCTCCAAATATGGTAACTGTACGCGTCGGAGAGAATTCTCGATATTTCGTAGGAGTCTCATATAAACACGAACTCGTGGTATAATTGTTAATTAAAGACTTATGTCCAAGAGAAAATGTAGCATGGAACTTTTCTCTATCCGTGGTAAACAGCCATGAATTATAAATTCCCACCTACTAGGCCTGCCCCGATATTGTTGGTAACACGCAGGAACGTTTCTTACGGGAATGCCAATAAAACAGGACAAAAATCCAAGAAGTTGCTACTGAAATTTCTGCATACTTTTATATACACGTAAATTTATAGCTTTAGGTTTTGTTCTTCACAAAAACTTATCCTGTTGAGTTGAACTAACATCGGTCCAGAAAAATAGCGTGAAGTTAGCTTTAGTCCAAAAAGAGAGAGAGAGAGAGAGGGAGAGAGAGAGAGAGAGAGAGGCAGATTCATGTGCGTATTTGCTACGATCTATGGGTATTTGCTACAGTAGCAAATACTCATTTTTCATTTTATGGGTATTTGCTACCGTAGCAAATACTCATTGAAATTTCGAGTGGGTATTTGCTACCCATAATGGGTATTTGCTACCGTAGCAAATACTCATTGAAATTTCGAGTGGGTATTTGCTACCCATAATGGGTATTTCCTACCGTAGCAAATATCCATTAAATTTTAAAGTGGGTATTTGCTACCGTAGCAAATACTCACAGAACTTAACAAGGGGCATTTGTTGCCATAATTATGGATATTCGATTTCGTAGCACATTATCAAACTTATCAGTGGATACAAGTATGTGCTGCCAACAATAAGTAATACTCATTTCATTTTTAAGTTCTATTTTTGCTTCCATTATATTGTCATTTTCTTGTGTAGAAAGTACTGGTTACGCTTTACGACTAAATATTCGCCTGAACATAGCTACTAACTATGGCCTGAAGTGTTTTTGTTTTCGATAAAAGTTTTACCTAATTGTTTTCACACAGGGCTGATTTTTATTTATTTATTTACATTTTTTTTTTTTTGGGGGGGGGTTTTGTTGTAAGAAGTTCCCAAGCCCTTTTGCCCTTTTGAGCAGAACACGTGATTTGTGAATTTGTGATTGACAATCTTTATATCTGCATCATCGTGGTTTGATGTTCGATGTCCGGTGTTCCTTGATCTTCGAGAAGTATGCCGAGAAGAGAAGTTTAACGGTAAGTTACTTACAGTTGTAGAATGTCAGCAATGCAAATTAGCATTTTAGTAATTATTCATAGGGTTAGTGATTGTTTTAGAGAGGGATCGATAGCGAGAAAATATTATTCTTTCAGGTCTCACAGCGCTATTTTTAGACCAGAGTCAGTTCAACAATTAAGGCAAAAAAAAAGAGTAAATTGGTTACAGAGGCGAAAAGGCTGAATTGCATCTTTTCTAACCAGGCCGGTAAGGAAGGAAATTAATCAAATTAGCTGCAAAGGGGAAAATCTAGATTAAAACTTGCTCAATGAGACGAGGAGCACGTGCTCATCCACCTAACGCGACAAAGATGCTCAAACCAGTAAAGAACCGACCATCTTTACACGGTTTATTGGTATGAAAAAGAGCATAGTAGGGACAATCGAAAACCAGTTTGATAAATCCCTCCTTGTTCAATTTACGTTCTTCTTTGATTAATACTTTCAGTAATTCTAATCATGCTATTATGATAAATTATGATAATAATTACTTCAACCCACGGTTTGGATTCTATAGAAAAAACCATCAGTACTTTAATACAAGAAAGAATGTGAAAAATCCGACTTCGCACAAATTATGAAGCGATGAGGATGAATGCGCTTTTCAAATTTAACATGGAATTCAGGGGTCAAATGCGTTTACTTTTTGTTTAACAAAATCCTTTGTTGTTGTGCATGAGTTTTAACATGCAAAACGCGCGCACTGACAAGCCATTTAAAAACAATATACAACCAGAAACCCATAATGGGTTTCTGATACAACTCGAATAAACGTTTCCGAGCTGTTTTTTTTTTTTTTTTTTTGTTATTGTATTTTTTATGTCTTCGACATTTATTGTTTTATCATGAATGTGTTGAAGCAAAACCCCTACTAAATAGTTTTCAGAAGACTTGATTTTCTCTTTTGCATTTGTTGGGCGAAATTTCCTGAAACTATGAAGAAACTGGCAGAAAGTTTATATATTCTCTAAGCTCACAGATTAACTTCTTAACTCCAAATAACTCCTTAGCGATTCCCATCTCAAAGCCATACATTGTGTCATTTATTAATTACGAGAATTTGAAATTACATGTACATCAAAATGACACTCCGTGGCTGATAAGTGTTCTGTTCTGATCGCCTATCTTTGGGAAAAATTTTTGCCGAATGACACGAAATATTCGCGGGAGTTTATTTTTGGGGATGGACGATTTCTTTTGTGTTTTGCGGAACTTCTTTTTGCAATTAGGACAGAGTGCATGGGTTTCTAAATCTTGGCCCTCTTTTTAAAAGTCGCGCTCAGTTTCAAATGGACTGATAACATTGCTTTCATTTTCACACTTTTTTTTGTTTTAGTACGTTATTAGTAGTAGTAGTAGTAGTAGTAGTAGTAGTAGTAGTAGTAGTAGTAGTAGTAGTAGTAGTAGTAGTAGTAGTAGTAGTAGTAGTAGTAGTA